TATTTGTGTCGGTATTGATCGAAGGGGCACCAGTCTGGCACCAGCGCCACGCCGTGGACGCGGTGGACGCCGTGGACTCCGTGGCCACGGCGGCGAGCAGGCTGGGAGGCAGCCAACCTGTGCCTCCCGGACGCTGCCCCGCGGACTGTCCGGCCTTTGACGGGCTTTTCTGCAAAGTGGAGGCGGAAATCAATGGCACTCCCTGCTAAATACTTTTCGAGATTGTTTGCGAATAAACGGGCGGAGGAAAACCACGCCATGTTTTGTTCGATGTTGGCCACGTCAAACCCGTTAACTTTTTGGCAGTAAGTATGCGACGAGGGTTCGCCCAAGGCAGGAATCTGCATAGCCAGACACGGGTAGCAGGGCGTGGCACGGCGTGGCATCCGTATGCATTCCCAGACGTGACGTGGCTTCCTTCCCAAACTTTACCGCCTGGATCCCTCCAAGGAGGAGCCTCCACTGGCAAATCCTGGACCCGGTTCACGACAGAAACCCCCGATACAAAGTTGGTTATTTCGCTGCAGCCGGGTTTGATTTTACTTTGAAGGAGTGCGCTTCATTTTGGCGCTCGGATTACCGCGGGGGCTCACTCGGCGGGGCAGCTCGGGGCAGCCCCTCGCCGACTTGCCCCACTTGACGTGACGCGCTCGCCACTTGGGCGGCCTGTTTTAGTAGAGGGCTCGGGGCTTGCCTGGCAGCCTGGCTCGCCGTGCCGTGGCCCCGCTAGGCCCCGCTAGGCCCCGCTAGGCGCGTCGTCTGTTCATCGTGCCCGCCGTGCCGGCCGTGCCGGCGGTGTCCCGGTCGCCCCACACCCCGCCACGTATTGATCCATGGTGGTGCAGTGCGCTGCGCTGCCGCCCCCGCCGCCCCCGCCGCCCGCCCGCCGCCCCCGCCGCCCCCGCCGCCCCCGCCGCCCCCGCCGCCCCCGCCGCCCCCGCCGCCCCCGCCGCCGCCCCTCAGGGCGACCCGGCCCGGCCCGGGCCAGCGGCAGCCAGCGGCAGACGAAGCGAGGGGCTCAACTGGAGGCTGATTCCGAACAACGCCGTCTCTCTCGCACCTCTGCGCTGCGCTCCCCGAGGCGAGGGAGACGGGGCGACGAGAGCCGTGTTCGGGACCAGCCCTCTGGAGCCCGAAATTTTGTTCCAAAGCCCCGTTGCCAGGGCGACGGGCGACCGGAGCGACGCCGCCCTGCCCTGCCCTGCCCGGGCCGCACCGCGCGCCCCGCCGCGTCGGGGTGCGTTTGCGTTTTCGCTCGGCAGGCCGCGATCAAAAGCGATAGGATCGAAAAACCGAGAACCTGTTGGATTCTCCGCACGCGCGCTGCGGGTTCGGTGTTTCGGTGTTTCGCCGCGGGTTGGGTTTGAACCCGGAAGCGCCGCGGCGCCGACGGACGCGGAGTTTAGGGCCGCCGACGAGGGATTTGTCGCTGAGGCCGTCCTGCCGTCCGGGACTCCAGGACAATGGGCGAAGCGGCGAAGCGGCGGGGCCGAGGACATGTGGCCACTGTTGCACAACGCACGGCGGCACGCTCGGAGTTTGTGTGTGTGACTGAGTCTGTGTGTGTGCAATGGTCTAGACTGGCTCCATGCAGTAAGCATTGGGCAGCGATGCGCGACCGCCAGGGGCGCCTCGTTCTGTGCATAGGACATTTGCTACTGCCCGTTGTCCTTGGATGTCCTTTGTACTGCACTCCGAAAAAGGCGAAAACACGAAGGAAGGACTACAGGCGTCCCTGGTGCTGCAGTGGCTGCAGTGCCGTTTGCAAATCACGTGGGATTTCGTTTTCCAGCGTCCCCGCGGTGTGCTCGCCTCGTGCTCGCCTCGCCTAGCCTCGCCGCGAGGTCACATCACCATCGCCATCTCCCCACCCGCAGCTGCACCAGCCGCACCAGCTGGGCTGAGCTGGGCTTGCCTGGGCCCATTGGAGTCGACGGAGTCCCAGAGCAGAGGGCGGCGGAAAGCCGTGGAAAGCTCGGCACAACCAGTCGAAACGAAAGATTTGCAAAGTGGCGTTCGGCGTTCGATCCCCGGCACTTTCTCGCTGTTTTCATAGTGGCCGCCGGTTCATTTCGCCCCGAGTCCTCGGCGTCCTCGACGTTGTTCGGCCTGTTTGGCCGATCGTGACTCCGAGGCAGTCCCATCGTCCGCCACCGCCAGCACTGCGGTCGCCTTGTTTGGTCTACTACTCGGCGCCACAGTGTGCATTCCCTTGGCAGTGTAGTAATTTCTTCCCCGCTCGCCGCCAAATAACAACGACAATAAAAACGGAAAGAACGACGGCCGATGTTTGTTTACACTGCGAGAGCGTGAGTGGCGGGCCGTCGACGCGCGGGCCGCGGGGCGCACACTACAACACGTTCGTCTGTTCATCGTTGGCCGCGTACGCGTAGCCGCGCCTTGGCGAGCCGGGCCGCGTAGCCGCGCCTAGTCGTGCCTCACTCGTTGGTGGCTCGACGTGCAGCATGCATTCACGCTTAGGTTACGTAACCGCGGCTGGCGGGGCGCTGCGGCACTGCGGCTCTACACAGCTCTACGCCACCACACTGTGCAAGCCTAGCAAGGCCTGGCCGGGCCTGGCAAGGCCTTCAATGGGCCCCAAGTGCGGCAACTCGACGCGACGCTACTCCCATGGCCTCAACCCTGTCGCGGCGTCGGAGCCAAGCACCGCGACGACGATCCAGCAGGGCCGGGCTACACTAGGCCGCACTAGGCTGCAGAAAAGACGGCGGTACACTGTGGACTTGAGGCGAACCTGATTAGCCGCGCCCTGAAATGCAGCCATCAAGCGCAGCGTGGAAATTAGCGCGCGCGCCTTCCCTGGCGGCACTTGGCGGCGAGATTCATCGACGGGGAAGTCCCCAGCCTCGAGCACTCTGTCTCTCTCGCTCCCCTCGGGGACGCCCCGTGCGTGCGACAGAGACAGAGCGACAAAGCGATCCTCCGGTGCCGGTGGCCTGCCAGACACACTGCCAGACGCGTTGGCGACGCCGTCCCGCCGGCCACGATTTATGGACGACAGAGTTAAAGTTCGAGTTTGACGCAGGCAAGCGCAAATTAAAGTCGACCGCACACAAAAAAGGCGCGACTGGATCCGAAGAGGTTTGCCGTCTATTTCTAGAAGCTCGCGTGCATCTCTTCTGCTGCAGTGTGGCAGTCCCACTCGGAGCGCAGCGCGCTAGCCTCTGCTAGCTGCAGACTGATTCCGAGAATCACTGTCGTCGCGCTGTCTCTCTCGCACCTTTACGGGACGCCCACGAGTGCGAGAGAGAGAGAGACGAGATCGACTGGGTTGCAGCTGCTGCAGCTGCGGCAGCTCGCCTCGCCGCGACCTCCGTTTTTAGGTCAGTGGGTCGACCACACGTGGGGCTCTAGGCTCTAGGACCAGCCAATGGGAGGCTAGCATCTCCCCCCTCCCCCAAGCTCCCCCTAGAATAGCACGTGTCGAAAACGAAAAGGCCCCCCACTCTCCTCGCCGCGCCATCTCGCCGTCCAACTGACTCACTCACTCCTTTCCCGCGCGTTCCTCTAGCTCTCTCACTCCTTCTGCAACCCGCCAGGCCCGCCAGCAGACCGATTCCGAGAGTCGTATTCGTCGCTCTGTCTCTCTCTCTCTCAGTCACGGGGCGTCTAGCACAGGTGCGAGAGAGACAGAGCGACGAAAACGGCTCTGGGAATCGGTCTCCACTACACTCGCTGAATTCTCCCTTGCGTTCTCTAGCCTCCTGGCCGCCAGGACAATGTCGCCGGCCGTTTTTCGATTACAAAAGAGCGCGCTGGTTTGTGTTGTACGCCCCTTGCGATTGGCCGTCGTCCGGGCGACCTGCCCCGCGCCGCGCCGCGCCGACCAATCGGGGAGCGTGTTTCAAGCGGCCCGCCCTCGAGTACTTGACTGTTGACTGGCAGACGGAGTGCCGGTGGGGGTTGGAGTCGTTGGAGTTGGAACGAACGAACGTGCAAACCAGCCGAGGGGTTTGCTCTGCACGGCCGCGGGGCGTTCCGTGGCGTTCCGTGGCGTTCCGTGGCGTTCCGTGGCGTTCCGTGGCGTTCCGTGGCGTTCCGCTGGGGTGGCGGGGCGCGGCCGCACTGCCGCACCCGCGAGTAAATATTATGCAGACACGCGCGTGTGCTGCAGTTTCGGCGAGCGCCACACCCTACACTTCACCCTGCCAGGTCGGCTTCACCGGCACACCCCCTCGGTGCGCCCGGTACACTCTAAGTACGCCCCAGCCCGGGCGCAGCGCGCAGCAGCGCAGCCCCATGGCGCTAGTATAACGCAGCGCTGCAGGGCCGGCCGGGCCGAGGCAGGTCGTCGACCCCAGCCCGGCCGAGCCCGAGCAGTGCGAGCAGCACGTGTATCTGCCGTCCTTGCCGCACGCACTGTGCTAGCACACTGTGCACCCACCCCCTGATGCCTCGCGCTCCCTCATCGCTTCCTCGACTTCCTCCCCTAGCGCAGCCAGGGCGCAGCCAGCCGCCTCACTGCGAAGCGCGCCGATCCGTCTCCGTCACACTCATGGGGCGTCCCGTGGGGGCGCGAGAGGGACAGAGCGATCGTTCGGAAACGGGCGGTTGGCGAAGCTGGCGGAGCGGCGGAGCGCACCCCATCCTCCCTCTCTCCGGCGAGCTGGCGGGCTGGCGAGCTCCACCCCACCCTCCCGGGCCGTTTCGCCACCTGTCCTCGCCAGCGCTGCCGGGCGTCGCCACCCCACCCCACCCCACCCCGAGCTGCCCCGTGAGAAAGGTGCGAAATTCAGCTCCCGGCCGCGGTGCCGCGGTGCCGCGGTGGTCCTGGCTCTGGTCCTGGTCCCCAGGGCCCGCTTCGCCGGCTTCGCCTCCCTCCCCATACTCAGCAGTAACAAACTCAAGTGTAGCAGTAAAATGGCGGCTGTATCGTTCTCGGAACGACGCCCTAATTTAATCGCCGTCTCCTTCGCGGAACCCCTCTGATGCACACGTCGGCGAAGGAAGATGAAGCGGCGGGATAAAAAAAAAAAAACCGCTGCGGACAGGATTCGAACCTGCGCGGGCAATGCCCAATGGATTTCAAGTCCATCTCCTTAACCACTCGGACACCGCAGCTGCCTGGGACGGTCCCCGGCCGGGCGTGATAACGAGGGTGCGCTGCCGCTCCGGCTGGCTCCGAAGAGTCGCCTCGTCGCTGTCTCTGTCTCCGTCGCACTCGCGGGGCGTCCCGAAGGGGTGCGAGAGAGACGGAGCGAATCGTTTGACTGGCAGGCAGGAGCTGAGCCGAGCTCCCCGCCTTGCAGCCCTAGCGGCCCTAGCCCTGAAAGGAGACGAGAACACTTCCCTTGTCTCTCTGGCGCGGCACCGCGCCGGGGTCGCTCTCGGGCCTCTCGGGTCGATCGCAGTCTCCCTTCTCTCTCCCTCTCTCTGTCCCTCACGCACACGGGGCGACACGTGTAGGCAGCCGTAGGCAGCCGCGGGGGTTCGAGCTTCACTGTGCTTCGCTTCGATCTTGACATTACCTGGCGTTTCGTGTTCGTGCGACCAGTCGCGCGACCCCCTACCCTACCAGAAGCACTCGTAACTTCGTCCGGCGCAGCGAAAGTTAGTGCGGCGGGCCGCGGGCCTGGTGTGGGTCACGCCTGTACGCTACCTCCGGCCTGTCCAGGGGATGCGGATGAATGCGCCGACGCAAGTCTCAACCCGCGGACCACAGATCATACAAGGTCTTCTCGGAAAAGCAGTCGACTGGCGAAAGAGTCGACAGAAGTGACCTCGCGCTCCTTGCCGCTTCCGCGGCCGCGCGGCGCGCAGCTTCGAGTCACAGAGTCCCCGCGCGTTTCGGCGCTCACGGAGCTGGCCAGCACTGGACGCGGATTTGTCCTTTGCAACAAACAATGTATCGTCGATACGATACGCGATAGCGGTTCTTCATTGCGTATCGCGCTAACGCTAACCCCCTGGCAAAAAATTAGCGCGATACGATACGATAACGAATATCGTTATCGTATCGTCGTATCGACGCTCACCGATAAATTAGCGTTCCCAACCCTGCCTACCAGAAGCACTCGTAACTTCGTCCGGCGCAGCGAAAGTTAGTGCGGCGGGCCGCGGGCCGGTGTGGGGTCCACGCCTGTCCCAGCCTGCCCCGGCCTGTCCCCCAGGGGGTGGCGGCATGAAGGCGCCGACACGCAAGTCTCAACCCGCCGGCCAGCAGACTCATACCGAGAGTCGTGTTCGTCGCTCTGTCTCTGTCGCACTCATGGGCGCGCCGTGTAGGTGCGAGAGAGACAGCGCGACGAGAAAGGCCTCTCGGAATCAGACTTGCAGCTCGGTGCTCGCGGTGCATGTCCAGTTTCGCACTCCACCCTTCAGTCCCCTAGCTGCCACGGCCGCCCCGGCCACGCTGGCAGCCCTGGCAGCCGCGGCAACCCCCTCCCCCCTCCGCTCGATGGAAATTCGCCTGCACACTCATAGTGTGTCGCCGTCCCGTCGGGACTTGCGGTTTCGCTGCAACCAGCCGATAATTCGGTTTTCGAGGGTATTCGGTCGAGGCGCGGGTTTTCCCGTAATTGGCGGTGCAGGCCGCAGCGGGCCGTCGCTCTGTCTCTCTCGCTCTCACTTAGGACGTCCAATGGGTGCGAGAGAGACAGAGCGACGAAAGCGACTATCGGAATCAGTCTGCAGAGGGCCCGACTCGGGGATGCGGTCATGTTCGGCCTCGCCATGATGCGAGCCGCGTCGAGCTGCCAGGCTAGAGCCGCAGCAGCCCGGGCACGTCGCGCCGAACGCCGAATCTGGTCTCTAGTCTCTAGTCTGCAGCTCTGCCCTAATCAGGCCATGAGGGCCATGAGGCTGGAGCCGTGCCTGCGAAGCGGCGAAGCACTGCGAAGGCTGCCGAAGGGCTCGGCTACGCTCCCCCCTCCCCTCCCCTGCGCCCGCTTCTGTGGCTTCGTGGTCTAACGTTCACTTGACACAGTTTTCGCCAAATGATCTTTTTTTAGCGGTTTATTTCCGTCATCCTGGGACCCGCCTCGGCCGTCACGCTGCTGCCATCTGGCGGGCGGGCGACGAGCCGCGGCCGCGGGGTATGGACGGAGTGAAGGGGATGGCGCTACCCCGCGTCGAGGTGAAAGGGCCCCGAGCCGCGGGGTATCTGCGAGTGTTCGTGTACTCCTCGACGTAAGCGGACCTTTCGCCTTGCGCGAGGAGTCTGTCTGGCGCCTGGGGATTACCCCGCGGTGCAGTGGTTGGGGCTGCAGGGGCCGTTTCTCATTTCTCTTCACTAACATTGTAAATGGACTACAGTAATCCTAGTAAACTTTTGTCATTTTGTTCAGTTGCAGATTGACAGGGATAAATAAAGACAAATGGAATATTGTGATTTTTTTTTTAAATTTTAATAGTAACTATGTACACTAAAACATGTTGGGACTGGACCCCACTCAGGAGGCAGTTCAAAGCAAATCTACCTATAAATAATGTAATCACAGCAATCTAACATGTGCGAATAATAGCTCCACACATAATCACACTCACTTTCACACTCACAAACATACACATTTATATTTTTATAGGACGACACTTAATGCAGTACTTGATTGGGACAATTAATTACAAGAAAGGAAGGAAGGGACATCAAAGTGAGCTGCAATATTCGCACATGCCCAATTGCAAAATGTAGTGCTTTGTACCACTTAGAGAATAATGAGACATCAAATAAAATCACAATGGACACGAACAAATTGACACAGTATCAAACGAAAATTGAACTTTATACAGATTATATCACACAAAATATTCAAATAATACGAGTCAATTTGTCAAAGAAACATAGACATTTGAAGAACATAAATAAATACAACATGTCATTCATAGATTCTTTCAACATGTATAAATGTATACATGTATGCATTCACATACATAAACATATGTCTGTACATAGAGTTACAACATCCAATATGTAATCCAGAACATAGTCAAAAATATCAATTAAAATATTAATTCAGACTTGTTGAACAATAGCAGCATGCATCATCATACTCATCATAAGAGGCAAATTACGTTCACTTATTTGATTACATCAATGGTTCATGATTTCTGAAATTTGTCCCATAGATGCTGGTCCTCTTTTTTTGTTACCTTAACATAACTAGTTTCAAAGGGAAACATCAAGCTTCACACAAATTGAAACCTAAGCAATGTTTTAAGAAGGACAGTTTGTCAAATCTTGCATCTGAGAAGACATGATTACATCAAATTAATCAGACAGCAAATTAACTGCAGTCATACTAATAACAAAATAAGGGAACAGAGGATGGAATACGGAACTTCTAATGCAGTCTTAAGCACCACCATCAAAATATGTGCATCACAGTGGAATAACAGTGAACGTCTGGTAACCTAAACTTCTTCAAATGTAAGCCCTTCAAAGTAAAATAAATGATAAAGAAAAAAAACAAGACATTCACTTCACAGAAGTTACTAAACCACAATTAGAAACTTCAAGAACAGGAAATATAACTATATACACCAGCAAAAATCTAAGAACCAGCACAAAGCAATCTGCTTGGATTATCAGCAATTAAAAGGACGAACAAACCATTTGAAAAAGTTTAGATAAGAAAGATGATTGTGAAGCTATAGAGAGAAAGAATTCAGCAAAGCTGTTTCTTGACGGCGTGAACGTGGTCAGGCCTCTCACCACGAGCATGCTTCTCCCACATTCGCTCGTAAAGCATCTCCATTCCTTGAGCATACTTCCGGCAATCGAATAATGGGCTCTCTGTTCTTGTCAGCCATACTTGAGCCCTGATCGATTTCAAACTGAAAGTAAACAGAATATAATATTAGGATCATTCATTTCAAGAGTCAAGTAATTGGTGAAACGGAAAGAAAAGATCAACTCACTATTCACGATCAGTTCCCAAACGAATGGCAATATCCTGGTACTCCTGTCTTGTGCGAGCGATCAGCTCAGGAACACCCAGGGTGGCCAACTGAGAAGCTGCGACTCTTGAAGCAAGAGTCTCACCTAAAAAACAGCAAAGAATTTATTTTTTAAAAACAACAATATAACCAGAAGGAGAGGGGAGAGGTCAGCCTGCGAACAAGGTTTCTTGGCTCCGTACAAGCAATGACAAAAGGGCTTGCTACCTGGCAGGGTGACGACGGGGGTGCCGGTCCACAGCACGTCCATGCTGGTGGTGTGGCCGTTGCACAGTGGCGTGTCCAGACACACGTCGGCCAGCTGCCCGCGCCTCACGTGCTCCTCCTTGGCGGCCACGTTGCTGAACAGGATGCGGTTGGGGCCGAGGCCCAGGCTCTGGGCCGTGGCCTGCAGGTTGGCCTCGCCCACGGCCGGGAAGCGCAGCAGCCACAGCACGGACTTTGGCACATTCTTCAAGATCTGCGGGCAGCACAAGCAACGCGGGGCGTTAGGACGGCCTACGCTCCGACAGCGGCAGGAAGGGAAGATGACGACACACCACTGCGAGTGTGCATATACTTACATGGACCCACATCTGCAGCGTCGAGGGGTCGATCTTGTACAGCTGGTTGAAGTTGCAGTAGACGATGGCGTCGTCGGGCAGGCCGTACTGCTGGCGCGTCGTGATGACGATGCTCTGCGGGACCTCCTCGCCGGTGGCGGCCCGGTTGTTGGCCTGGGGCGTCGCCAGCCCGTTCTGCAGCACCACCCCGTTGACGGAGGTCTGCACCTGGCCGGAGGCGATCATGTTCTCGATGGGGGTGGTGGTGGGCAGCTCGGCCACCTTGAACGAGATCTCCCTGGGCTTGCCCTGCTCGGGCCGCACCACCTCACGGATCTCGTTCACGTCGGCGCTCTCCATGATGGGCGAGAGGTCGGTGGCGTTGATGACGGCCACGTTGTCGGGCAGCCCGTCCTTCTTGGGTCCCTGAGGGGAGAAAAAGCGAGTTAGCACCGCGCCGGGTCGGGGAGCGGAACACACAGCGCGCAGCGCCACCAACACAAACCTTGTCGGAGATGATGAGCCGCTCCTTGAGGTGGGGGAACATCTGCCTGTGGTCCCCGACGAAGTAGGTGTGGGGCATGAAGGCGAGCTTCTCGGAGTACTGGCTGGCCAGCTCCAGGGGGCAGGTCACCTCGTCGGTGATGAGGTAGTCCATGAAGGAGGCGCCCGACGTGCCGGGGTAGCCGAGCCACATGACCTGCACGGGGGCCGGCCGCAGCGCGAAGATCTCGTTGCGCGCGCCCTTGGTGTAGCCGTTCATGTTGACCAGGATGTGGATGCCGTCGGCGTGGATGCGGTCCGCGGCCTTGCCGTTGCAGGGGATCTGCGACAGGTCCACGAAGTGCTCCGCCTCGCGGGCGATCTTGGCGCGGAAGGTGGTGCCGTCGTCCGGGCTGATGGCGTAGCAGAACACCTCCACGTGGGCCTTGTCGTGCATGCCGGGGATGGACTGCATCAAGTGGGAGGTGGGGTGGTTGCCGAAGTCGGACGACACGTAGCCGATGCGCAAGCGCCCGTTCAGCTCCCTGGGGTACTTGTAGGGCGGCTTGTGCAGCACGTGGATCTGCAAGACAAGAAGGCAACGTCAGCCCCGCTCAAACAGAAAAAAAAAAAAAAAACATTTTCCGCACTTCGTTCCTCGTCGGCTCACCTTCTCGATGCAGAGGTTGGCGTGGCGGGCCGCGATGGCCCTGCGGAAGTCGTGGGTCAGCGGGTACAGCATGGAGTGGTGGGGGTGCACGGACGGCAGGCGGTTCTTCTCCAGCTGCTCGGCCACGATGCTCACCAGCTTCTTCATGCGGGCCTCGTAGTCGGTCCAGTCGCACACGATTTGCAGGCAGTGTGCCAGGTTGCAGTACGCGTCGGGGAAGTCGGGCTTCAGCTTCAGGGCCGTGCGGTAGGACTGGATGGCCTCAGGAATGTTGCCCGAATCCTTAACAAAAGATAGTTCAAAATCACATTAGTTTTAAGTATTTAATGGGTACCTTGCGCGGCCGATTCGATGCTCCAATCCTTACCTTGTGGATGGAGGCCAGGTTGCTGTGGGCGTCCGCGAAGGCGGGGTTGATCTGGATGGCCCGCGTGTAGCACTGCAGGGCGCCCTGGATGTCCTGCATCTCCTTGAGCGTGTTGCCCATGTTGCTGTACGCGTCCGCGAACGTGGGCTGGATGCGGATGGCCTCCTTGTAGTGCATCAGCGCCTCGTTGAGCTTGCCCTGCTGCTGCAGCACGGACGCCAGGTTGCTGTGCGCGGCCGCGAACTCGGGGAACACCTCGAGCGCCTTGAGGTAGAGGCGCGTGGCCTCCTCGATGTAGCCCTGCTCGCGCTTGATGTTGGCCAGGTTGTTGAGCGAGTCGGCGTGCGTCGGGCTGAGGCGCAGCGCCGTGTTGTAGCACTCCTCCGCCTCGCCCACGCGACCCTTCTCCTTGAGGGCGTTCGCCAGGTTGCAGTACGCGTCAGGGAAGTTGGGCTGCAGCTCGATGGCGCGCCGGTACGTGTCGATGGCCAGGTCGATGAGGCTGGACACCAAACAGACCCGTCAGACTCATCACGGAGGAGAGAAACTCTCCAACAAGACGCGTTGGGCGGGGCGAAGCGATCCCCGGAGAGCGCCCGGCGGAATGAGGTGGGCCGGCCCGTCACGCAGCCGAGCGCGCGAGTTGCCTACTCGCCGGGCGCTCTCCGGCGGCCGCCGGGAGCCGCGGCCGCCGTACACTCCAGTTCACTCGTCACTCACCCTTGCTCGTAGTAGACGCACGCCAGGTTGCCGTGGACCACGGCATTGTTGGGGCTGAGGTTGAGCGCCCGCAGGTACGCTGCTACCGCCCTGAAACACATGAGACACACGCCGTCAGACACATGGGCAGACAGACAAACACACACACACACACAGGGCCAAAGTGCAGCACAACACTGCCGGCCCTTGCCGGGGTACCTGGATAAGCCTTAGCGGTGGCGACGTGGCGGCCCTGCACAAAGCCGTCATCGGCATGCCACAGAGTTGGGGGGGGGGGGCGCCCTTGCCCCCGATATCCCCGCAAACGCCACGAAACCACCCCTCGGCCCCCTTCGGCGCGGTTGCCTTTCCGCGTGCGACAAAGAGGAAGGGGGGGAGAGGGGGGACGTTACGCCACAGGCAGACCGCAAGCCCTTAGCCTTGGATCGAGCACCCTTCGCCTTCGCCGCCAATCAAAATGCGCGACGACGCGGCCGCCTCGCCGCCCTCCTCGGGCTGGGGCTGTGGCTGTGGCTGTGGCTTGGGCCGTGGCAGGCCCGTCGTCCCGGCAAACAGCGACCCCCTCCCTCCCCACTGCCCCCGCTCCCGGATACGGCCGGACGATATGGGCCATGCCCGCCGCGTCGCCGCGCGGTCAGACCAAATTGCAGTCCCGCCCCGTCGCCCGTCCATTTGTTCGCTTTATCGTTTTACACTCGGCAATTGCGCGCGGCCAGGCTGACGCCGTCCGTCTCTCTCGCACTCGTGCGGGGGCGCGTGCGGGGTACGGGTACGCGTACGAGAGAGACAGAGCGTCGCCCGGAACGGCCGCAATACACTCGGACTCGGGTCGATGCCGTGCAAATGGGCAGACCAGGCCGCAACACTCGAGTTGACGGGGCGTGGCGTGGCGTGGCGGGGCGTGGCGCGACGCGGGGAGACACTCGAGCCCTCTTTCTCGGCCACTAGAAGCTCGCCCACCGACACGACCCTCGTCACACGGCGCCACTTAAGCCCCCGTCACGGCCCCCAAACACAAAACACTCACACCAACACACACACACACGTGTTACGTAACGCGAACATGGCTCCCTCCGGCAGGGCGAGCACATCGTGTGGGGCACGCCGGCGCCCCGCGTGGCCGCGGCCATGCCACGGCACTCGCGCGAGAAAACAATGCATAAATTGGGGGCCGGCGGGACGGGACACGTCGCGCTCTCTCACACCGCCAGGGCGCGCTGCCCGCCAGGCAGGCGCCTCCGTCTCCCTCCGTCCCTCCCCAAGACACCTGACACTCCGCGCTGCTCCGGCAATACAGCGGCAAAATGTGGGACGACTCCCCGGCCGCTTCGCGCGGCGGCCCGCGTCACAGGCCTTGGTATTCCGTCGGCAAGTCGTCTCCGTCTCCCCCCCCCCTCTCTCCCTCCAGCCGCCCCCTTCCCCCTAAAAGAACCGAGGGAGCGCGAGCGCGCCGCCAAAGGAGGAGGCAAATTTTACTCTTCACTCCGCCACTCAGCGGTGCGCGGCGCTACGTTACTGGAGCACCGTACACCAAACTCCACTCCCGGAGGCCACCTGTCTGCCTGCCCGTCTGCTCGCCGCAAGCCAGCAGCACGTGCGCCGCCCGTGCGGCCCACGCACGTGGCAAACGACCCAACAACAACAAAATGAGCAGAAAAACAAGAATTTGTCATTTCCGCGCGCGTGGTATCAGCGCCGCAGGCACGCGCTCCGCACGTCCCTCCATTTATCAAGCCTCTCCCCGCCCCCCCGCTCCCTCCCCCGGGACGCGCGTCGCGTCGCTCCACCGGCCCAAACGACCAATTCCGCGACAGTCCAGCTCACTGAATATCAGGGCGGCGGCCGTGGAAGGGAGACAAACGTCGACCCGGGCGGGGCGGGGCGGGGTGGGGCGGGGTGGGGCTCGCCAAATGAAACGACCCCCGCCCCGCCCCGCCCCTTATCAGAGCGCCACGCTTCCGACACACGGTGTCGCGCGGTCGCGCCTCCACCTAACCGCCGCCATCAACTCGCCCCAATCGCCCCCCGAAAAGCATTACGCTGCATCAGGCGGCCACCACATTTGCATGACCCGCCTGCGCCCTTCTCTCTCTCTCTCCCTCCCACCCTCTCTCTCCCCCACGGCCGGCGGCGCCATATGGAACGCGCCATTAACCACGACGCGGCTATGTCACTTCGCCCCGCTTGGCCCCGCTTGGCCCCTCGACCGGGCGGCCCGGGCCCGGCGGGCCGACCCAGCAACCAACCGGCGGCGGCCAGTTCGACAAGCCCTGACATCGGTGGGGACTCGCCCGTGGCGACGCGCCGAATATTGACCGCGCCGGCGATAGCAATCATCCCTTCACTTGACAACCCTCCCTCTCTCTCTCTCTCTCTCTCCTGTCGGGCCGCAGTGTTATGACACGCACACAAACGCGCCTGGCAAACACAATCACCATCGCACACACCCCCGCGGCCTAATTGCTGACACGAGGGCGACGACGGGGTGGTCGGTGGCGGGCAGGGCGATCGAACCGCCAGACAGTTCGAGAAGCGGCCGCCGCCTCCATCGCCGTCGAGGCCACGGAGACCGTCGGCGTGGCCGCGACGGCACCCGGGACCCAGGACGACGACGACAGGCCTGTGACCACTCACTGGCGGCTGCCCCGGCTGCCCCGCGTGGCCCGCTATCGACCGGGCCGCGCGACCCAACCTGGCCAGCGCCAGCGCCGCCCGCGCCAGGCCGGCACCCGAGCAACAAGTCGACGCCCCGCCCCGCCGAGCCCCGCCGAGCCCCGCCGACACCATGTCACCCGGCGGCAGCTTTACACGCCGCCGACGTATTCAAGCAGGGGGAGAAAAACGCGACACGCCAGACTAAACACGACGCCGGCCTCGCCCTCACGGCCTCGGCAGGTCCACGACGAGCGTGTTTCCACACTCCCCCCCGTTTCGCCAGCCCTCGGCCCCAGAACCACTCGGGGCGCCGACAGACCAGCGCCCCATAAAGGGGACCGGCGCCTTCGGGCGTTATGATCCACCGCCGTATGCCCCCCCCCTCTCTCTCTCGCACTCACGGGGCGCGCCGTACGTGTGCGAGAGAGACGGCGCGACGGGCTCGCTCCACCACACGCACACGCGGCGGCATCGGGCATCAAAGCGCATTCATCACACCAAACTACACATAAAAGCGGCCCCGTCCGTGCACCATCCGAGGCCGCTTCGGCCGCCATTCGCATCATGTCCGCCCCACTGGAGGCTGCCGGCCGCGCCTAGGCCGGAAGCGGGAGCCACCCGGAAGGCCGGGGCCTCGGCCGGGGCGCCGCGCGCATCCCAAAGACGGCCCCGCAGAGCGCCGGGCAGCGCGGGCAGGGCGCGTCGCGCAAGCGAGATGAGCGAAGAAAGGGCCGAAAAAGGATAAAGAACAAAGAAAAAGGATGTGTGTCCGGCGGGCAGCGAGCGAAGGACGGCGAGAGGGAACGGGCGGGGGCGGGGGGTTAAGCCGCCCCTAAACCAGCCCGCGCAGCGCGCAGCCCCATCCCACAACTCTCGTTGCAAATCAGCGCGCCGCGTCCGCGCCACATGCGCCCCGCCCCGCTTTCAGAGCCCCGGCGTCGAGCAGACACTCTGGTGTCGAGAGGACCACATGTCGTCCATCTCGGGCCTAAGCGCGCGCAGTGCGTGGCGGCGGGCCGCAAACGACCCTCCGCCACACCGGCCGCCACGCACAGCTGCACGCACACTGATACCGACAGACCTTCCCGTCGCTCTGTCTCTCGGGGGCGCCCCGTGCGGGTGCGAGAGAGACAGCGCGACAAGTCTCCAGCCAGGGTACCGCCGGACTGGGACTCGTCAAGCGGCGGACTGGGACCGACTCGTTCTGTCCCTCTCGCACTCTTAGGGCGTCAGAGGGACCGAAAGCGAGAGAGTGCCGCGCGGGGCCGGACTGTAGGGTGGGCGACGAAGGGCGCCGGCAGGCGTCGGGGCATGGCAACGGGGGAGGGAGGGAGAGAGAGGGAGGATAGTGGGAAGCGCCGGCCAATTCCCAGAGCCAATCAAGCCGCAGGATACGGCTGGACCGTGCGGAGGAAGAGGAGCAGAGAAGGGCAAGTGGGGACGCTAGCCAGGCCAGCCAGGCCGGTCAGGCCACCCGGCTCGGCCCAGGGTACGTGGACCCCCCGCGCACCCCGCCGAACCCCGCGCGCCGCGCTCGAGTGCTCACCGACACACAGACACAGAGAGATTGTGATAAGTTTTGGGGGCGCGCCCGGGCGAGCTGGTGCCGCCCCCGGTGCGCCGGCCAATAATGCTCCCACGCCGCCAACAACACCGACGGCAACATCCAGGTAGTCCGCCCACCGCGCCCACCCACCCCCAGGGGGGCGCCCGCCCGGGCAACTGCACCTCCACGAAAACAAGTCAACAGCGTATACACGCCCGGGGGGCGGGGCGGGAGCGGGGGCGGGGGCGGTTCGACAGAGAGGAGGAACCACGACACCCGGCAAGCGGAACAAAGACTTCCAGGACCTCCAGGACCTCGAGGTCGTTAACGGGGCGGCCGGCACGGCACCTCCCCGTTGTGAAAGCGCCACTTGGCCCGCGTCGCCGCGTCGGTCCATGACAACGGCCACGCCGACAGCCAAGCCAAACCCGATCGCTGCTGCCAGTGCGCCAGCGCCGCCAGCGCAGCCGGGTGAGACCACCCGCCACCAGTTTAGCTTGGCAGCCCTGTCACAACTTCCACTCCGGAGGGACGCCCCGCCCCGCCCCGCCCCGCCCGGCGGGGGAACCAGGGGATGGGACGGCCCCACCTGCAGCCCCGCCCCGCCCCGCCGTCGGCACCAGCAAACACTCTCAGATTGGATTATCGCAAAGCATCACAAAACGGGACCCCAGCCGCCACCTTCGACAAGTGCCTGGGCGGCGACAGGCGGCTTCGTTCTTTCTCTGTCTCCTTTCCCTTGCCAAGCCGCCACACGCGTGGCTCGCAGTCCCACGGGCAAAACAAGGCCGATTCGTGGCTCCGTCTCCGTCGCACCCCTCCGAGAAAGGCACGAGTGCGAGGGAGACAGCGCGACGACAGCGGCCCGACGGCGGATGCAGAACGATGA